CGGCGACGCACACCGGCATGCTCGACCGGTCTCCCTGCGGCACCGGCACGTGCGCCATCATGGCCGCGCTGCATGCGCGCGGCGAGCTGCGGGTCGGCGAGCCTTTCGAGCACTCGTCCATCCTCGGCACCAAATTCATCGGCCGGCTGCACGAGGAGGTTGTGGTGGGGGGCGGGGGAACCGAGCCGGTGCGGGCGGTGGTGCCGACCATCTCGGGGCGGGCGTGGATCACGCAGCACGCGACGGTGGTCTGCGACCCTTCCGACCCCTTCCCAGAGGGCTACAAGGTTGGCGACATCTGGTAGTCAGCGGTCAGCCCACCCAATCCTCGTGGCACCGCCCCTGCCGGGAGGGTCAAATAAGCTTAGGTTTGCGTAGATCGGATCGGATTCACATTCAGTGCGGGCTCTCAATACATTTCCAGCAAGGTTATATTGTTCGATTTAAAGAACTCATCAAACACGAAACAGACACTCCGACACCGCAAAAAAATGTAATCGTTGTAATTTTATGACGATAACACGTGTTGTGTGTTGAAGTGTCAAGTGAGGGCATTGGACAAATGGAAAAAATATGAACGCACGACACTGCGGGGTGGACGGCGCACGCACACACAACCTCTTGTTTTCAGATCGTCTGATGGACTTCCGCATTGGCCCTCTCTCCCGCCGTCGTAGTCGCAGTCGTTGTAGCGGTCGTCGTAATGGCGGCAGTAGAGCTAGTTATGGCCGCTGAGCCAATCCAGGGCACGCTTACACACCAGACGCAACCCGTAGGTCACCCACCCCGAGATCGACTACCCCGGCCCAGACATCCTCGCCTTCCGCGACCCCGCCGTCCGGCTTCCGGGAGGAGGCCTCGCCGCGCGCAATGCCGTCGTCATGTCCAACGGCAGACCGCCCCAGCGCGCGCTGCAACCCGGACACCGCTGCCCGGAGCCGCGCACGCGACCGCGTCGCCCGCGCGCCGCTCCGGCGAGCTGCGTACCTTCCCTTCCCTCCCTCTGCCTTGCCTCAGGCGAGCTGCGGTGGGACGACCCGGCGACGCACACCGGCATGCTCGACCGGTCTCCCTGCGGCACCGGCACGTGCGCCATCATGGCCGCGCTGCATGCGCGCGGCGAGCTGCGGGTCGGCGAGCCTTTCGAGCACTCGTCCATCCTCGGCACCAAATTCATCGGCCGGCTGCACGAGGAGGTTGTGGTGGGGGGCGGGGGAACCGAGCCGGTGCGGGCGGTGGTGCCGACCATCTCGGGGCGGGCGTGGATCACGCAGCACGCGACGGTGGTCTGCGACCCTTCCGACCCCTTCCCAGAGGGCTACAAGGTTGGCGACATCTGGTAGTCAGCGGTCAGCCCACCCAATCCTCGTGGCACCGCCCCTGCCGGGAGGGTCAAATAAGCTTAGGTTTGCGTAGATCGGATCGGATTCACATTCAGTGCGGGCTCTCAATACATTTCCAGCAAGGTTATATTGTTCGATTTAAAGAACTCATCAAACAGACACTCCGACACCGCAAAAAAATGTAATCGTTGTAATTTTATGACGATAACACGTGTTGTGTGTTGAAGTGTCAAGTGAGGGCATTGGACAAATGGAAAAAATATGAACGCACGACACTGCGGGGTGGACGGCGCACGCACACACAACCTCTTGTTTTCAGATCGTCTGATGGACTTCCGCATTCCGCGCGGTCTCCCTCTGTCACGCTCAGAGGGCGGCGCCACCAAAGGTGGCGGCGGCGAACGAGGAGCGGCGAAGCTTAGCGCACGATCGCTCTGCCCTGTGGCGAAGTTTGGCCGCAAAGCTCGCAGCCTTCAGGCCGACGCGCGCGGTGGACAGGGCCTCGCCACCTGCCGACTCGATGAGTATCTTCTTCATGTGCTCGACAGCCTTTTGCAGCTCCCCTTGCGGGACGACAGAGCTGGAGATGGTGATGCACATGCGGCCGTCGACGCAAACGCAACAGACGAGGAAGTAGGTCGCCACGCTGTAGGTTGGCGCCCAGTGGTACGTCACGCCGCCAGCGCCCTCGTGCATCGAGCGTAGCCCGTAATTGTTGAACCAGAAGATCTTGCGCGGGTTAGCGCGATACCCAGACATGCCGTAGACAGTCTGGTTGATGAAGCTCCACGCCGCGTTGCCGGAGAAGCTCTCGATGTGCTCGATCAGGCCGGTTAGAATTTGGACGCCCACGACTCGCTGCTCAGCTCGTCGAGCGTCGGACGGGTGCCGAGGCCAATCAGCCAGTTCCCGCACACGTTGCGCTCAACCTTTGGCATGTAGTAGCGGCTCTGGCAGCTGACCTGCGTGAGGAGGATCGGCCGCTCGACCTGGTACTTTTTCGGAACGCTCTTCGCAGCTTCCGCGCTGGTCGTCATGAGGTGAGCAAACGGCTTCAGCTTCCTCGCCTTGAGTGCAGCGGTCATCTTTGCTGTCTCCTCGAGGCTGAGCGACTCGATGACTGAGCAGCACTCGGGACTGGCGCACCCGAATGCGTCGAAGAGCTCACGCGAGAGAAGCCACCGGCCGTACTGCACCGCCATCGTGTAGCTGGTCCCGACCGCGCAGCGCAGCGCCGGCAGCGCGCCAAGCTTCTTCTTGAGCTCCTCGTTCTCGGTGTCGAGCCGCAGGTCGAGCTCGGGAGAGCCCACTGTAGGCCGGACAAGCGGCGCCTCGCCGTCGTAGTACGTGGCGACGAAGCCCTTGATGAGGTTGAAGCAGGAGGTGCCATCGAAATCGCGAAAGTTCGTGTATCCGACGACGAAGGTCTTTGACGGCGCAGTCAGCACATGCACGTAGTGGACCTTGGCCGTGGACGCCAGGTCCGTCATGCGGTACTTGTGCCACACCTCTGGCTTCATCACCGTGTCGGGGATGGTAGTGACTAGGATCCGTGCCTCTTCCTCGGCAAAGCCGTTGCGCACGCGGAAGGCATCGAACGCCTGCTTGGCCTTGGCCTCGTCCCACGGCTTGGGGAGCTCAGTGACGTTGCAGACGTCGACGAGAGAGAAGAGCTTCCGAATGATGCGGTTACTGAGAGGCAGGGTCGTGCTAGCGGCGAGGCCATGCGCGCCGCCGTGGTACGTGTAGGCGATGAACCAGGTCCACAAGTTAAGGAAGAGGGACACGCAAAAGCGACGATGCCAAGTGGGACCCACATCAAAAGGCTGTGGCGTTCAGGATGGGTCCGGAGTTCGTGCAG